TAAAAAACACAGTTGAACTTTTCGAAAAATGCTGAGAGTAAATAAGCCGTTAGGTCACTTGTATAATCTGCATAGATATGAAATCGTGTCACTGCAAAAATCTTTTACTTTGAAAATTACCAGACGCTTACCAATGTTGTGTGAGTTCCTGTCTAGCCCTTTGTTAACCGCGGTAACTGACGTATCCCATGAATGCTCACGGCAAAAATAGAACTGGATCCTATCTTTAACGATGTGGCATGGTAAGCTGCTTCTGGGATACTACTGAAAGTGTCCACGCTTCAGGGATTAATCCTATGAGCCATAATGGATTCTATTTGAAACTGCCACGTTCTGCTGCCATTCTACACCGCTAACGCCTCTATTGTGAAGTCGGGGTTAGTCTTTGTGGACAATATGTCCCATCTCTTTATTTGCTGGTTCCAGAGCCAGTCATATGTAAGCCCAATGGGGTTGCCAAGTTGGCCCCAGCAAAAACTGCCGAGCCATCATTTTTTATTTAACAGTGGCCGGCAAAAAGCAACAGAATTTTGGAAAGAATGTTAATCAGTAAACAGGAGCAACCCAGAAGTTATTTCTTTTAACCCTATGAAGCCACGGCATCTTTTTGTTTTATTCTAGTATCGGGTAAAGAAGGCTAGAGGCTAACGTTAAGCTAACTGTGAATTAGAAACAAATAGTCCTCTCGAAAATTTTCTCAAGGTTCTTTTTTCACTTACTAACAACTCGATATTATAGTGAAATGTATTTATTCACTTATCAACTGAATGTGTATGACTTGTCGCTTGTTTTTAAGAATCATCTGGCGCTAAACCATTACTGGCAACAAGTGCTCAGCGTGGACTTGTTTGTTTTGATACATGTGCTGCAGTACCCAAATTTAACCACAGGATGTCACTCGTACTTCATGCACCTTTAAGGTACAGATTTTGGTCCAAAAAGGTCCCATAAACTCTGAAGCTTATAAACCAATTAATTCTGTTATTTTATAGAATGTTTGTATGGGTATAAGCTCAATTTGATGCAATATATAACTAGATGTTTATTCACTTTACGTAGTTAACTTGTTTGTCTATGATCTAGATCAGTGGTTCCCAACCTTTTTCCCAAGGGACCCGTTTTTTTACCAGTAAAATTTTTGACGACCCCCTCCCATTCTCTCTTCCAGTACAAACAGTATTAAGAAATGATAAAATTGTTCAAGCACATTTTACTATGCTTTGATTTAATCGATGACAGTTAGTAGGCTCCAGTACAGAACAAAGTCATTAACAAAACCAAACAGAGCATAATGTGCTTAACAGTTTGTATTACTTTTCTGAAAACATTGTTTCTTGTAAACACTGAAAAATCAATCATTCCTTTCAATAAACGTTTGACACATAAAAAATACACTGCGCAAAATGTACTTAAATGTGTATATTACTGATTCCATGCTTTCGTTCTTTTTAAACAAAGAAACAGTTTTGTTTACCTGTTTTGTAGCTACAGTTTCGCCGACGGCTGCCGACTTCTTCAGGCTGACGCTGATGGTGGCGCGTCACTTCCTTCTCCGTTTATCTGCGGGCAGCAGAGGACGTTGTCGCCCTCTACTGCCCGCTCTCCCCTCTCCGATGATGCAGTCCCATGCGTGGTCCAGCGTGTAAACTCCGTCGTCCCTGTTCATGGTCCCACATCCACGTCTCCTTATCTCGATTGCTTCCTTGATCCATCTTTTGTATTTTTGTTGTTCAGTGGTTATGATCCGTGTGTTGTCCCAGTCCATTATATGGTTTTCTCTTGAGCAGTGATCTGTTACGGCTGACTTCTTTATTGTACTTTCTGCTTCTTCTTTTGCTGCTCTTGTGTGTTTTCGATTTGCCTCTTTCTTGCACTCCTTTCTGTGTTCTATTGTTCGTGTGTTGAGTTGGCGTCCTAAGATGTTCAAAGAGAAATACGGACAACAAGGAACGAAGGACTTCCGCCGTTTGGAACGATTACACCAGAAACGCGCACGTCTAAGAAACCACCTTCGCTTCTGTTTAAGATGCCGGGACGAAAACATCACACCCACAAGCCTACAGCTGAAAACATCGATCCGGACCAAGACAGCACAAAATATAATAGAAAGAGCACAGAGAGCACTACTCAAGGAGAGGTTGAGGAACGTCATAACCAAACAGAGGCGTGTGGAGGACGAACTGGAAAGAGGACACCTGGACTTGAAAAGGAATTACAAACTTGATAAACAAATGGAGGAACTAACTAAAGGACACTTGATGGAAAAACAGGAAAAAGAGTTCATAAAAGTAAAAGAAAGACACATAGAGAAGCTAAACAAACTCATAAACAAGAAAAAGAGGGGAGAAATACAAGGCAACTCCACACCAAACTCATGGGTATGTAACATTTCACAATACAAACTAACAGAAGCAGAAGAGAGCATATTAAAGAAAGGTTTAAACTTTGCAGTCACACCAAAAGTAATACCATATGATGAATTTATTGTAGCAACAGAACTAGCATGTCAACAGATCACAGATGAGGGAAAGAAAGCAGAACTCAGAAATAACATAGTTGGGATATTAAAAAACAGCCAAATTCAACACAGCAATATTACAAAAGAAGAACAATCAGCCATGACAGCTTTATCCAAAAATGAACAGATAATTATTCTACCGGCAGACAAAGGAAGAACCACAGTAGTTATGGACAGAGAAAAATATAAACATCAGATGAACCAGATGCTAGAGGACAAAAATACATATGAAATACTTAAAAAAGATCCAACAGAAAACATAAAGAAAAACATGAAAAAATTACTGAAGCCACTGCACGAAAAAGGCAAAATAACAGAAAAAATGTACAAACACTGGATTCCCACGGGGAATATAACACCAAGAATATATGGAACGCCAAAAATACATAAACAAAACACCCCACTTAGACCAATAGTTGACAGCATAGGTACACCAACATACAACATGGCAAAAGATATCAGCAGAATCATCAGCCCGTTATTAGGAAATACAGACCAACACTGCAAAAATAGTATAGAACTGGCAAAAGAACTAAAGGAGATCACAATAGAAGACGACATACTCATCTCACATGACGTCACATCCCTGTTCACAAAAACACCAACCCAAAAAACCATAGACATAGTAGTTAATAGAATCAGACAGGGCAAGACTTTACGCAAAAGGACAAACCTCACAGCAGATGACATAGCACAACTGATAGGACTGGTAGCTAACTCCACTTACTTCACATGCAATAACATAATATACAAACAACTGGAAGGCTTCGCCATGGGTAACCCGTTATCAGCCACCCTGTGCGAGTTTTTGGTGGAAGACCTTGAACAAAAAGCCATAGCCACCGCCCCCCCAAACTGCAAAATAAAACTATGGAAACGCTACGTGGATGACATAATGGAAATCATACCAAAAGGTCAAACAGAAACACTAACACAACACTTAAACAATATTGACGACACGGGCAACATAAAATTCACTTATGAGTTAAAAACAGAAGGCAGCATAGCTTTTATGGATATGAAAATCACCAGGCAGACCGACGGGACCCTAAACATAAACACATACAGGAAACCAACACACACAGACCAATATCTATTATGGACATCAGAACACCCCACCATACACAAAATGTCAGTAATCAGAACATTATATCACCGAGCAAACATAATAACAGAAGAGAGAGACCGTAAACAAGAAGACAAACACATACAACACGCTTTAAAGACCTGCGGATACCCAATATGGGCAATAAACAATGGAAAACAACAAACAAAAACAGAAAGCAAAGAACAACCCCAAAAAAGAACTAGAAACCCAGAAAGACAAGAACCAAAACCAGTGATAACCTTACCATACTTCAGAGGCATAACGGAAAAAATAAGAGCAACAATGAAAAACACAACATAAACACACCAACAAAACCATACACAACAGTTAGAAACAGACTAGTACACCCAAAAGACAAAATATCAGCTGGACAAAAATGTGGAGTCATTTACGAAATCCCATGTAAACTCTGCAATAAAACATATATAGGAGAAACCGGACGCCAACTCAACACACGAACAATAGAACACAGAAAGGAGTGCGAGAAAGAGGCAAATCGAAAACACACAAGAGCAGCAAAAGAAGAAGCAGAAAGTACAATAAAGAAGTCAGCCGTAACAGATCACTGCATAAGAGAAAACCATATAATGGACTGGGACAACACACGGATCATAACCACTGAACAACAAAAATACAAAAGATGGATCAAGGAAGCAATCGAGATAAGGAGACGTGGATGTGGGACCATGAACAGGGACGACGGAGTTTACGTGCTGGACCATGCATGGGACTGCATCGTCGGAGAGGGGAGAGCGGGCAGTAGAGGGCGACAACGTCCTCTGCTGCCCGCAGATAAATGGAGAAGGAAGTGACGCGCCACCATCAGCGTCAGCCTGAAGAAGCCGGCAGCCATTGGCGAAACTGTAGCTACAAAACAGGTAAACAAAACTGTTTCTGTGTTTAAAAAGAACGAAAGCATGGAATTAGAACCTCGACACAGCAAGAACACACCTAAGATGTGTATATTACTGTTTATACTAGAATATTTACCGTAAACGCTGTGATTAATCAACCAGTCCCATCTTTAATGAACTTTTGACACTTGAAAATAAAACAGTGAGCTGAGCAAAATGTTCTTAAAAGTGTGTTACTCTTTCTGTACTAATTATTTCCTGTCTTAATATCAGTAAACTTTTCACTCATGAAAAAAATGTGAGCACAATGTAGGCTATAAACAAGTAATAAATAAAGTTTTAACCCCTGAAAGTGGAGAGGTCCTGGCGACCCACTGAGAGGCTTTGGCGCCCCCTTGTGGGGGTCAGGACCCCCAGGTTAGGGACCACTGATCTAGATCATCAACAATTAAAACGCTGGGATTGGTTGAACATTTTTGAGTGAATAAATAATTAAAAGATGTATTTTTTCTAATGCCAGCAGATAGTCCTAACCTAACTGCGGATGAGACGTCAATGGGCAGCAATGAGTCGGTATCATCACAGTCGTCATCGGCCTCGACCTCCGAGCTCGCTACAGATAAGACCGAGCACGCATCGTTGACTGCCAGCCTCAGCTCAGACAACGACTCCCGGTGAGTCTCTCCACAGGCTTTTATTGTGATTAGAATTAAGAAATGTCATCATCACACAAGCAGGTGAGCAAATTGAACAACTGAATTTAAATTTATGTTCCTCGTTAAAGTTGGATTCAATTACTCGTGAATGTTCCAACAGGAGCTATGAAAGTAACTTCCTTGTGGATTTTCTAACTAATTAACTAATTTTGCTCCTTCCCTCTCTGTTATACTTGTGCATTTTAAGAGAAACTAATGAAAACAATGAGTACAACTGATGCTGATCAATTATTAACAGTTGCTCTTTGTTAAACATTTGCAGTGGGAAAAGTCCATTTACGACTTTCCAGCCTTTCCTGTCTGTCCTCTGTCCCTCTTAAGTCCTTGGTTCTTTTTGTTGTTTCCAGCCCAGAACTTGCCTTGAATGCTGATGTGAGAGATGAATTATTGGGGTATGCTGCAGATGTTAGACTCACTGCTGTGTCATGTCTACAAATTCACCTTGAGATAGACTGTCTCTCATTCACCGTCTCATTTTTCTTCTCTATTTCCGGAGAAAAACAAAGGTTGTTAAATTAAAACGAATTTACCTCGGGGCTTGACAGGACAGCACGGTCCCTTTACTCTGTGACCTCTGTGGGTGTATGTCTGCTTGTGTGTAGGCATGTTAACAGTTTTCTAAACAGACAAGACTCTATATGCATTATGTAACCTACTGCTTATTATTATAATTTTTTTTGTGGGTTTCTTTTATTTGTGTGTTTTCCCACATATGTTGCCTCATGTTGGAGGACGGAAGGAGTAACCAGGAGGAGGTCGTAAATCTCAGCTCTTATTTGTTTGGAAGACAGGTGGCCGTGCGTTGGCCGTGCGTTGGCCGTGTAAATCGTATTGACATTGGAGCGATATTCATCTTGTTTACCCTTATAGCCACGGCCCCTGTCCCTTTATGAAGACTTGCGCCATATGTCACAGGGTGTCGCCCTGGCTTTGGTCACTCATAAATCTTAGCGTGTGAGATGGTAGAGACCTGTTAGCGCAGCACCTCGCTGGCGTTAAACCCAGGGATCCGGCTTAGGTCAGAGCCAAAATGAGCAGGGATTGTTAAATAAATGACTTCCAGGCAGCCGCTGAAATGTAGTTTGCTGTGCCCAAACATGCACCTGGACAACAGTATATTTTAGTCAGTTTGCTGCAAGATGTGCACAGTCATACACAAATGCATCCTGACTCACAATATCTTCCAATAACTTTTTTGTGGACTGTAACATGATTTATAATCTTGGTGATTTCCAGTGACTCGCCTCATTTCTCCTCCTCAAATTCAGTCACAGTTTATCCCAGTGGCTCTGTAGCCCCAAGTTACATATTCAGGGTTTATTTTTTTCTTTATACTGCCCTATCTCCAGCTCTCCTGGTCTCCTACAGGCAGACAGCTGTGGATCATAAGATTGTGGATCTGAGCTGATTTCCTGCCCACCCAAACTGGCAGTGGCTGAGTGAGCAGCTGGGCTGTAGGTTTGATCCTCCTTTCTACTAGAATCAGTCCTAAATCCCACTGCTGCCCATCTTCCTTTAGAATAAAGGGAGATGATAGCCCCTCTCATCCCCAAGTCAGATCCTTGCCAGGATCAACAAGGCTTTGACGCTCGAGAGTGAAATTCCTGCAGTAATGAGAAGCAGCACTTTACTTTTGAGGATGAATTCTTCTTCTTCTTTCTATTAACCCAGCCGTGTGGTATGTGCGAGATAACCCTGATGTTTAAATGATGAACAAGAACCTTTTTTTTTTACATTGTTTCATTTAGAAGGGATATAAAGTTTTGCTCATACACGTTTTGAGAATAAACTTCACATTTTTATATCTACAAATGGTACTAAAATCAGGAAGGAAAATTTTCCCTTGCTTATGCATAAAATACGTTTACATTGTTTTTTTATTGCATATAAAACCCAGTTCATGCGGTAGGATTTTTTTTTATAGTCAACCGATTTTCAAAACATGGGAAACCACACACGTGTTCATAAAAATCATTATACATATTGTGTGGTGTGCAGCAACTTGGCAAAGACCACCCACTACACATGAACCACTTCCACCCATGGACATTCCCCGCTTAGATGGAAAATCCCATGTCACGTCGCCTTTCTGATTGACTGCACGTCATGTTCAACAGGCAGTACGTTGGTTTGTTCCTACTAAAATGAAACAACATGTTTGAAAGCCTGTATTTATGATCAGAATTGTCCCGGCATCTTTCCAAGCAGTCCAGAGCGCACATAACACACCACACAGGGTAGGATTATCTGATAAGATTGTCTTTAGAGCTGGTACAAAAATCATACTCAACTTTAAGATTGTCAGGCTGGACAAAAATCTGCATCGTTCTTCTTCCGGTCGGTATCAAGATGGCGCCTGTGCTTGGCTTAGCCGCGGTCACCGGCCACTTTTTCAAACTTTTCTCCACTAACCTCCTCTTTTCCACCTTGCTCCTGTCTGCGATCCTCTTCAGTAGTGTCCCTGCTACCATCTCCTATGATCGCCAGACACTTTTGTTCTTCCGTTTGTTCACGATCGCCCAAGATGCATCGAGGACGTACCTTCCTGTTTTTTTATCTGAGTGACGCACTGGCCCAGAGCCAAACGACGATCTCATCCAGCACGCCTCCAGCGATGTTTGTCCGGTCCCAGGAAAACGTTGGAGGAAAAGAGGTAAATGAGCAGGAATCCAGGTGAGAATAAGACTTCTCTTAAAGCGTGGTTTATCTAGTAAACATCGGCGTGATCTTCTAGCTTCTTGTCCTTTGGCGACTTGAGCACCACTTTCGCATTCCCGCCAGGCTGCGTTGCGGCGCGGTTTCTCCGTCCAAGTTTTATAAGGTCGGTTTATCTTCATTCCTCAGTGGTTTCTCCTCCTGTTCCCTCCATAAGTGGTTTTTATAAACACCGTGGATCTAACCCTGCTAATTTACGTTCACTAACTCCAGCTGTTTCTGTAGTTTCTGATTCCTCCACCTCACTCAGCATGACTCTATTAAATACCCGCTCTGTTAACAATAAGTCCTTCCTGCTCAATGAACTAATTCTCTCTAAAAACCTGGATTTTCTGTTTCTGACTGAAGTTTGGCAGCAAACATCTGATTATTCTGGTCTGGTTGAACTCTGCCCGAGTGGTTATTCTTTTCTTAAACAGCCCCGGGGTTCAGGTCGTGGTGGAGGCCTAGCTGTTGTTTTCAGAGACCATCTTCCATGTAGCTCTACAAGCTCTGGTCACTTTGCTTCCTTTGAACTGCAGCTGATTAAAGTCAGGCGTAAGGACCCGTTCTACTGTGCTGTGATCTATCATACATCTGGTCCAAACAGTTCTTTCCTTCAGGTGTTTAGTGACTTTCTATCCTCCACTGTGAAGCTGTCCAGACTGGTGATTGTTGGTAATTTTAACATCCACGTTGATGATCCCTCTGATCACTTTGCCATGAACTTCTCCAGCCTTATGGACTCCTTCAGCTTTACCCAGCATGTTTCTGGCCCCACACACACTGGGGGAACACTCTGGACCTTGTTTTTACCCTGGGTCTAAATGCTGACAGTGTTTGTCCTGAGGACGTTTATATTTCAGATCACCATTGCATTTTCTTTAACTTGTCAGTTTCTGCATCCCCACCTACTGCGTTCCGTATGGTTAGTTCTCGTTTTCTTAATGAGAGCACAGCTAGCAATTTTTCTGTTGCTTTTGATCCACCCTGTTCTTCTGATAGTGACCCAGATTCCTTAACTTCTCAGTTTAACGAGAACTGCCTCTCCATTCTGGACAACATATGTCCTGTCAGAACCAGATCGGTTCCTGCAGTGAGCCCTACTCCCAGGTTTAATGACAGCCTTCGCAGCCTAAAGCGCCAATGCAGAAAAATTGAGCACTTGTGGAAGAAAACCCATCTCCACGTCCATCTGCTGCACCTAAAGGATCTTATGACATCCTTTAATTCTGCAGTCAGAGACGCGAGGGTTTCCTACTTCTCCAACCTGGTGTCCCAGAGCAAAGGGAACCCCAAGGTGCTGTTTAACACCATCAGCAGCATCGTCTCTCCTGCCTCTCCTACAGCCTCCATCCACTCTGTTGCAGACTGTCACCAGACTGTCTGTCTTTCTTTGTGGACAAAGTCAATAAGGTTAGATCTAGCATCTCTCCTTCAGCCTTATCTCTGCCCCTCCCGACTCCAACCAAGCCCATCATCCTAGATAGCTTTGCTCCTGTTTCTTTGCCTGAGTTAACCAAACTAGTTAACTCTATGAAAACCTCTGCATACCCCCTCGATATCTTACCGTGATCTTTGTTTAAAAGTGCTTTTCAGTCAATCGGTCCCAGTGTGCTCTCTATAATTAATGCTTCTCTGGTTTTTGGTCAGGTCCCTGCTTACTTTAAGAATGCTGTAATCCACCCGCTTCTTAAAAAAACGAGTCTTGACCCCTCTCTCCATAGCAGCTTCATACCCATCTCTAAACTTCCGTTCATCTCCAAGATCTTGGAAAAGGTTGTGGCTAAACAACTCACAGCTGCTCTTGATGAACATAACATCCATGATAGCTTCCAGTCAGGTTTTCGTAGAGCTCATTCTACTGAAACAGCTCTTCTTAGGGTCTCTAATGACCTTCTGACTCACAGTGATGCAGGGGACTGTTCTGTTCTGGTCCTGCTGGATCTGACTGCAACCTTTGACACTGTTGACCATCACCTTCTACTGGAGAGGCTGAGAGACTGGGTAGGCCTATCAGGAAATGCTCTGGAGTGGTTCTCCTCTTATCTTTCTGAGCGCTCCTTTTCTGTGGCCGTCTCCAAGTTTAGGTCCTCCACCACCTCTCTTACCCATGGTGTCCCACAAGGTTCTGTGCTGGGGCCTCTGCTCTTCCTCCTCTATCTGCTCCCTCTTTAGCACATCCTGAGCTCCTTCAAAGGAATCTCCTACCATCTTTATGCAGATGACATCCAACTGTACATCTCCTTTAAGCCCCATGAGTT